ACAGGTCGTGAACACCCACGAAAACATGCAGGAGGGCCATGTGTACGTTCCTCGTGCCAGACAGAATGCTTTGCAATTGTAAACGGCAGCTTAGAAGGGGGTGTTCGCTACCGACGTTGTTCTTCACACTCATGACTAACTGAAGTGGAACGCAATGAGAAGTTGGAAATGGCATTGTCGTTGTACGTTCATCTTAGTGGTGTTGAATGACGAGAAGTCGTTTAAAATAGGCATAGACAGGCTGCTGTTAAACAAATTCGTTCTGGTGAATTTCAAGTCATAATCCTGTGGAGGCAAGGTATTACCGTTTGCTCATATGTTTCGTATTTTCTTGCTAATTTGTATCCCACAATTTTGTTGGAATTGTGATTATTATAATCGATTTCTTTTTATTTGATTAACTTTCATTTCAGGACCCCTCCATTCGCTCTTCAGCTCTTATCAAGGCAAAGGACTCATACCAACAGTTGAAGTCAGAATTTCTTTCTCAGGCAAGTTGTGGGTGCTTTTTAGATATGCTTAGTGGGTATATAAAGTCACCTTTTTTCAAGGATGTTGTGGGCCCCAGCATGTGGTCCTGAACCACGCCGGGGTCACTGAATTAACCCTGGCCCGATTAAGCTTGCCTGATGCCCACGATGAAGAAGAAGACCGGAGAGGACGGAACAAAACCGTTTACTTCAGAGCTTAACCGGAATTGGTGTCGTTGTGTCGGGTTTGCGCGTGTGTATTTATATCTCGGATGCGTGAATCATAGATGCGCTAACATCAAGATCTAGGTGTGAGGTTAATCCAAGATACATATACGTGTGAATGAAGAGGGAGTTGAGGATTTGCGCGGCTGTCGCCATGCTGCGAGAAGGGGAGCCTTGTATCGGAGTCAAAGTGATCGGATTAAGACGTTGAATAAACACGATTCACAACAATGTTTTAAAATATGCAACCTGGCGGCGGGAGTATAATTTAACGCAATTTCAGTCATTACTTTGGAAAGTATTCCTACAGAATGCAGCTTATTGAACTAGTCTGTTTGAACCTTGTGGTATCAGTAGTGCAGGTTTTTTTAAACAATCGAAGGTATTGATTTCTTGTCATGTTACTTTCATTGCTTTTCTGGGCTCAGTTGGTCAGAGTAGTATATTTACAAGTTAGTGAGGCTTTTTTTTAATATAGACATGTGAGGAGGCAGCCAAACTTGTAAACCTCCACAAACGCCTTGAACAGCAGCGGGTAACTGCACCCTACTTCCGTTTGAACGACTCTGCACCCGGTGCACAGGTCCTCCCTCGGGTGGTCGAGGCCGCAGCTTTTCGTTGGCATAGCTCCTCCGTGAACACGACCTACGTGCGTCTGGTTGCCGCTGGCTCACAGACCACCGAACGGATAGCCGATCAGATGCGGCGGGATTTTAGGATACCCGAAAAAAGGGCGGCGTACTTGAGGCTCATTGGACTAGCCTTGTCCAGCAACACAGCTTCCGCTTGGGCCGAAATTGAGCGCATGGCGTTCTCCAAGAGGCCGGCTGTTCCTCTCGATGTAAGCTTCTTTCACATAAGTACTATTGTGCTAACAGTCTTTTCCCGGTCGAGCAAGTGCTTCTCTTTTGTAGATAATTGTCAAGGTATACGCGGACGCAGGACGGCAAAACGAGGCTGCTGATATTATCGCAAAATTGCCCCTAGAACAGAAAATAAGATCTCTCGTAATGATTGGGTAAGCTTAAATCTTGGTTTTTAATGCTCATTTTCGAATTGTGCTTACTGCTGAATTTTTTTGTCTCGTTTATGACCCAAAAATGGTTGTATGCCCCTACTCTTATATTTCAGAAAATCCCATGAGGCCATAAATATTGCGACTCAAGAGCGATCTGATCGTCTCCTTTATCTGATCCAACGACTCCTACACAAAACGGACAGACCTGCGGCTGACCAAGTTGGAAGGATTCGTCAGCAGCTCTCATTAAACTCTCCTTCATCGTGATTATTTTGCCATCTGTTTTTTGATTTTTTAAAATATGTCATAAAATACTGCTTTACAAGCACATTCACTCCTCTTGAAAATCCTAGCTGAAGCCTCTGCTGTGAATCACTGAAAATCCCAACCACCCTCTCAGTCATACATTTGGTCGCCCACAAATAAAACCCGGTCCAGTTTGTTAGGGAACGAACAGACGAGTATGTGGAGACAGAAGCGAGGACATCAAATTAGATGAGCCCTGTAAGTAGCTGTAGGAAATGCAAGACCCCTTGCCACCGCCAACACCTTGCGCGTGTTGTTGAGTTGTAGTGTTGCATGGGTTGGGAGCATGCGCTATCGTAGACGGTTGAGGGCCTTTGCAAAATGTTGCACGCGCTATTTCTTGGTTGTACTAGACTTGAAGTTCTTGGTCAATAGAAAAACCAGCACTACTATTATGTTTATTTATTTTATCCGCGAACTGATTCGTTATGAGAGGTGATGCTCTGGCAAATAATATTACCTGTAGTTGGAGTAGCGTACAAATCCAACCATCACACTTGCTCTATTGCAAATCGTATATGCTTTTCTTGTGTCGCATATCCTGTGTTTGTTGCATGTATATAGCCGTGCGTTTTCACGCTAGCAAAGTTGGTTGCTAGGTGTTTTTGATCGTGAATCCATGTTACACATTAGTAAGTAGTGATTAGTTCTGGGTAAAACCCATAAAAGACCAATTTCCATCAGTTTTTCCTTTTACTTCCTTAATTCTTTAGCAATGTCTTCATTGTTTCATTTTAAAAATGCTCTCGATACTTTCACCTCGGATATAATCTACTGTTATTCACAAAATCAAAATGATGTTGAAGAAGCGTATATTCAATGCTCGAAGTGTGTCACTGGCAACGAGGTTGCTGTTTGTTATGAGGAAAATTACTTCAGTATGCATGTTTGCCGTTTAAGAGTGGCCTCGGCTTTTAAAACGACCATCGCAGAGAGCCACTTACACTTGCTTTCGTTAAGAATTTATGGGATTCTGCGGTACTTCCTTTTAAAATTGGGCGAATCGTCAAATTCTAATAGTTCCGCCTGTATTCCAAATTTGAGGCATGCCCTATCATGCTCTCAGTAGAACTTATGCAAGTGATTATTGCTGCTCTATTTAAGCCATCTAGAGACCAATGATTTTGATTGTTTTTTTCCTGAAATACCTCAGGGCAGTTTTAGAGCGTACAAAAAATTGCACGTATGATTTTATAGTCTTCTATATTGATTTTTTGGTGTTCATTCTACATTTTTTACCTATGAAAATTTTAGGACTTACGAAATTTGGAACGATGCATTTTTCATTTAAATACTTGCTAAATTGTTATATTGTAAATAGACATCACTTGATTGCATACTCTTGTTTTAATACGGGTCATGTTATGTCCAAGATTTTGTTTAAATTAGCAAATTTAGGTCAATCACACAAAACTAACTGTAACCTATTTTCATTTGCAAAATATTCGGTTACAAGAAGAAGGTAAATTGATTTAACATAGCATTTATGCTGTGAAGATTGGATAAACGCATACTATGCAAATTTGTCTTTCATTCTAATATGTGGTTGAAAACCATGTGCGCCTTGTCTAAAGCTTGTCGTGGCATTATTCTAGTCCTGTAGCACGCTCTCTTTTAAGTTGGTTTGGTCCATCAAATTATTTCGTCGTTAGATCCATTAACGGCAGTGACATCGAGGGTTGCTTTGCTTCAGCTTGAAAAAAATGAACCCAAAGTCAGGTTGGTCAATGCAGAGGGGACTACATTCTTGAAAGTAATGAACTGTACCCTATAGTCAAATGCGAATTTTCCTGCATATTTGGTTGAGGCATGTGGACACTCACTTTTGCATCTCCTTGTAACAACCAAATATCAACACCGATAAAACTGCACTACTCAATATTGTACGTTTCACTGGTGTTTGTGCTTCCCTCTCACTGTTTCACAGATTTGTTGATCTCCTTTCGACAAAAAAATCCTGGTTTAAAATGAATTTCCATGATTCGGATACCATCTGCGCATTTAGAGTGAAATCTGTCGGAAGGATCGTCAATCTAACGGATTACAGTCCGGCTTATTTCGATCATGCTTTAATGTGATCGAGCCCTGATGCGTAGTGTGCTCCTTGCCACCATTTCCGCTGAATAATACTGTTAAAATTGTGTGACTGACCAGTGTATAGTTGGTGCGGGTCAATTTTCTGATTTTGCGAGAGCATTTTCGCAGCATTAGGGGCTCTCATCTTCCCAAAAAATGCCATTCACTGATATGGACGGAAGAGGGTCCTGTTTAACTCGTGGCGTTACCTACTCGCACTTCTATTTTAATTTAAGTTGTTTAATAGGACAGGAATTTCTCGTCAGCAGTACCAACGTGATGCAGGCACTTTAAATAGTGTCACTGAGTGATTCTCTTCAATGCAAGCAAGATCGGTCGCAATTGTAACGGATCTATTTTTTTATTTTTTTTTAACAATATGGCATCTGCGCTTCCATCTTTTATCTTGTCCATCGTCTCCAGTTGGTCTTCTGGTCGCTCTTCGTTTGCTTGGCCAACTTTCGCGTGATTTAACATCCCTTTTTAAAAAAATCTTTTAATCGCTCCTCTCAGAGAGTGTCTAGCCAGCTTGATGGGCTGCGTCGTTGAGGAAGAAATCACCTACCCTAATTTCTGTGCAGCTTCCCAAAAATATCGCCTTCTTACTGGACTATACGTATTTCCTATCCGTGATCATGGCTTTAGCACCACGAACGGGTCCAAAAAGCAGGAGTTAATTTAGCGCTCCATCATTTGGGTGAAAAAATTTACTTGGACAACGTATTTTTTATAATAAAAATATTCGTTATAATTAAGCACGAAGGGGGTGACGAAAAGGCAAATTAAAAAACCAACGGACTTTTGCATCAATCTAACTTCCATAATACTTCTCTTCTTGACTTTCATCAAAAAACACAAATGGTTGGAAAAGTGTTAACATTTCCAAGATCCCCTTCATTTGCCTCAAAGGTCGTTGATTATGGCTAGAGCTAATGTCGTTGCAGTAATAATCAATTTACTCAAAATGCCCGCTTAATGTGCTTTTGCCCAGGGGCACTCTTTCCCCACAAATGACTAAGTGTTTTAAAATTCGAACGCATTGGTTTTCCATGCGGAAAGCGATTTGGGAATTTTTATAACCTGAAGACATTGTTTTGCTAATTAATTTATTAAGATCGACATAGAAGTAATAAACATTTGGGCATAGTTTCGTATTTTATCACACACAAGAAAGTCAGTTGGAGTTGATGGCAAAAGGTGACTGCTTTGAGTAGTAAAGCATGAAAGTCTAATCTTGGCTCTCAAGAAAGTCCAGAGTAATTTACTATACGTTACTCTTTTTAAAAACAGGACCTGTGGTAGATAATTGTGATCTAAATCTGTGGTTCAGGGATGAATTGTCGAACAGGTCACCGCCTAGATATTGCGATTTCGCGATCAAAAATTCGCAGCTGTTTAATTCTTGAATTTGGTCCTGGTAACTGAGCATATTTGAATTGTCAAAGAAGGGCTAAAGTATTAATGCGAAATTCCGCTGCGGTTACTCAAAATTGATTTGCAGTTTAGGTGATAGTCGGGAACCACGATATCCTGGCCATTACCGTATCTATTATCTGTGCGAGTCGGTAACACACTCAGGCGTTCTCTCCGCTCGTTGGTAACTTTTTGGATGCTAAATTACTTTCTAGCATTTGCTGTTGTAGAAGTTGCCCATGAGAAAACCAAAGCAACGAATGTGGTTCTGAAACATCCCTTATTAATCGTCGATTTCTTAGATAGCTTTCGAATTCAGTGATGGCACATACCTAGTATTCCTACCGCAGTTCATTGCCATAAATTCTCCAGAAAAACACCTAAAGAATTACTTTAAGGGAATCGCGGTTATTTGACGTTATTAGGGCTCCCAGTAAGCCAATTATTTAACGCTTATAACACCGTGACATGCGTGCTTTTCCTGTTTTCCTTAATGTAATTAAAATAATTACAGAATATATTTTTACAAACAACTGTTCCACACACTGACTTGTTTCCAGCTTTGTATTTTACAATAAACACTTTGGTCTCCTGTGTGCCTATTATAAACTGTTGATGTCAACGTGCTACAATTTTTTAGGTTCACAGATTCAAGAAAAGGAGGAAAGTCCAGTGCGAAGGTAAGTCCATTCCGAGTGCATTGGGGATAAATTCTTTGCTCGATTTTGTCTATAGGCACTTTCTTGGTATGTATTTACGCATAGCAAAATATCTACATTCACGAAGTAATGAAAATTTCGTGGTGTCATGTTTTGAAAGACAGCTATACCAGTTTTATTTCTGCTTAAAATACTGTCGTGCTAAGTAGTTTACTTTATCTGCTTGATCAGCCTGCATCTTCACCTGTCCCTTTACGTGGCTTCAGATCGAGGGCTGCACGCTCAACCTTTGCGAAGGCATTGGGAAAACGTCGAATAGTTTGTTGTGAACTTCTTGGACACACATCAGACAACCGTACCTCTGTCCTTTTTATTAGGTTGTGAGTCTTTTCTTTCTATTCGTCTGCACGTTTGTACTTCCAAATTAAAAGCCTTGTTGGTTTACCGATCTACCCGCTATTTAAGGATGCTTTTGACACGGTGCTTTGCTAGTGGAATTGTCCACCACTTTTATTGGTTGTTAGGGTGACGCAACATGGTGCCTGGTGCGCTCTTTTTTAAATCAAAGTCAGTTTTAACGATTCGGCCAATGACACGCATTAGGAGTCTTTAATTGGGATTAATAGTGACCAGATGTATTCAAAGTGTCTTTGTAAAATTGTGACTATAACGGATGCGATCTCGATGTAGAAGGTTTAGCAGCGGGTTCACTCATCATGCAGATGCAGCTAAGCGCATGTGGGGAGGCTACGATGGAGAAAAACTTAGACTAAATGGAGATGTTGAGTTTAGATACACAGGAATTTGCAAAAA